CTGCCAAACTATTGGCTTCTCAATGCTCAAGTTGAAAGGCTCAAGGGCACTCTTTCACCTTATAGACATCTAATTTACCCAAAATTCGGCATTCAACTTCTTTATTGAGCTCGTGTAAGAAAGGTTTTATCTTCTATTGGAAATACGGCATTATGATGACATAGTGCATACCCAAAATTCATATTTATCTTCAACAATTCCGGGAGAGGGAAATTTCATTTTCATTTTTGGAAAGGCTCATCAAATCCATAACTAGAAAAATCACCAAAAAAAAAAAAAACCACAACCCAATCTTTATAATCCAATTTTAAGAGTCCCCACTATAGAAACCGGGTTCAAGGTTTCAGAGCTCAAATAATAAAAAAAAATATATTTTGACAAAGTCACAGATATCTTTTTTTTTTTGAGAAAAAAATTACAGATATCTTGATGTAGGGTTCATCCAAAAAAAATTTAATTTTTTTTGACAACGAAGCTCACAAAATTCTCAACATAAAAAAAGGAAAAGAAGAACCCACATCTCACTCGTTATAACCCTTTTATAGTGTACACATTATAAAAATCATGACTAGGGTTTTCTACCTTATAAAGAAAAGAAAATTTATTTTTTACCCAAAAGAGATTGATTTCCTATAGGGATAATTAAAAAAAAAATTCATTTTTTTTTTAAACAGGAGCTCATGAAATCTACAACCTAAAAATTCAAAAATATAAAAATCCACAACCCATTTATAGTCAGCATTGCAAAAATCCGGGGGATTAGATTTTCATAGCTCAAACAAAAACGTGGATTTTTCCAAAAAAATAGTGGAAGGAATCAACATACCTGGTTTTGATTTGTTAACTGAAGAAATCTTGAGCCATTTATGATTCTTGATCTTCAATACCCATTCTTGGAAGGAATCAACATACTCATTCTTAGCTTTGATTTGTTAGCTGAAGAAATCACGAGCCCATGTAGTTGATTTTATTGAAGAAGATGAGAAAAAGATTTATAGGAAGGGCTTGATAGGTTATTAGAAGAAGAGAGAGAGTGGAGGGGAAGAGAGTGGGAGGCAGAGAGAAAGAAAGTGTATATGGACCTTAATAGTTTCTACGGGAAGAAGAGAGTGAGAGGGAGGGTAGGGAGAGAAAAGGGGAGATAGAGAGAGAGAGAGTACTGAGCACTCATAGGGGAGAGAGAGAGAGAGAGAGTTACTAAAAAAAAGTACTTTCTAAAAGAAAGAGGGGGAGGGAATCAAATCCCACCTTGAGATTTGAATAAAAATTCAATGGTGATTTGTTGGGATCCATGCTAGCAAGTGTGACAGGGTCCTACAAAATCATTTGTCATAGCCCTGCCCCCTACTGTCCTTGTCGGGCCTACAGAGGGCTAACCCGGGTCCCCCGTGAGGACAATAGGGCGTGGGGTCGCGACCACAGATAGCGATAACGACTCAGGTGTAGTGCGCTCGACGCTTTCATAAAGAAGGATCAAAGCCAACCACAAAACAAAACAAAACATAAAGCACAAGCTGGGCAAACAAGTCCCAAACTACATTAAATAACTCAAGAATATTACAAAAGAGTCCAAGCACAAAAGGCCTAAATCAACAAGACATAGTTCTAAAACAAAGCGGACCATAATGCCAACTACCAACTAAAAGATACAAGTAACAAGAAGCTTCCACAGGAAAGGAGTATGGGGTTCCAACTGCGGTCACTTGATCGCCCCTCTAAAGACCGACGACTATCACTCTACGCAGATAAAAGTTAAAAGAGTGAGCTGTAAAGCCCAGTAAGTAGATCAAGTGCCATGATAATGCCTATACATATTATCTCATAACAATACTTAGGGTGTTACGCAAGTCTTACAAACATGAAGCCATGTGTCAAGAATCATATACAACAATGTATCGTACATGATTCGTTTCATGGTAGAGCAATGAAAGATCAGATTAATCAAATGTGATATGGATCAAAGATCAATCAAATCATTCAAGCATGAACATCTTAACATATCAACATAATTAGGCATGCATAATCAAGATCATCAAATACTAGCTAACTCACTCCCTATGCCCACTTGGCAAGGAGTTTGCACCATCAGGGGGACCAACCATTATGAATGGGGGAGCGACCACCCAAACATCTCATGCCCCTACTCTTGTCCTATCATGGAGAGTCGGGGAGGTTAGGCCATGCAATACGCTCAAAGAATGCACTTCACTGGTGTCAATTATGGTCATGCAATACGCTCAAAGCATACCAAGAAATCACAAAGTCAGGCCATGCAATACGCTCAAAGCATGCACCTCACCGGTGTCAATTATGGTCATGCAATACGCTCAAAGCATGCCAAGAAATCACAAAGTCAGACCATGCAATATGCTCAAAGCATGCACTTAACTGGTGTCAATTATGGTCATGCAATACGCTCAAAGCATGACAATAAACCACAAAGCCAGGCTATGCAATACGCTCAAAGCATGCACCTCACTGGTGTCAATTATGGTAATGCAATACGCTCAAATCATTTACCTCATTGGTGTCAATTATGGTAATGCAATACGCTCAAAGCATGCCAATCAATCACCAAGTCAGGCCATGCAATACATATCTCATCAATAGCATGTTACCATGCACACATATCACATCAGCAGTATGTTTCCATGCACACATATCATATCATAAGCTTGTTTTATTACCACCATGCACGCATATCATATTAGGGGCATGTCTTATTACAACCATGCACATTCATCATTTAATAAGCATATCTTATTATCATACATTCATTTTATAATAGGGCATGCATTCATTTCATAAAAGAGCATGCATTCATTTTATAATAGAGCATGTCTCATTATCATGCATTCATTCTATAACAGGCGATGCATTCATTTCATAACAGAGCATGGCTCATTATCATGCATTCATTTCATAACAAAACATGTCTCATTATCATGCATACATTTCTCATTAGCAGCAATTTTCCACACTCACATATCATAACAAGATCATGTTATATGTATACTCACATGAAACATCAACATGTCCAGGGCATACTATGCATATGATCATACCATCATGCTTATTAGCTCAAAAGACATCACAAGATCACATTTCTGGTTTTTCAATATGAACACAATCTACCGTTAAAGGCATATCATAAGGTTCAAAAATCATTTGGACCTGAGACCACTTTTATGACAATCCAGATTCATGAAAACATAACTTTCATAAAAGGGGTAACCTCAAATATTGGTCTAAACTTTATCAAATTGTTTGATGTTCTTAAATGAAGTTCCTTTTTTTACAACAGAAAATCCAGGGTGACATTCTCATAGAAAAACAGTCATAAATTTCAAACCACATGGAGTTTCATGACTCCAAAACTATTTTCAAAATAGATTCATCTATCTTTCATTTAGAAGTAGTTTCACCTCATTCTAATATATGTTGGTCAGTGAAAAGCTCCATACAAAAGCATGTTAAATCCTTGAAATTTTATTTCATTAATCTGGTATGCTTCATTAAATGGTTAATAACTCGCAAATGAAATTAGATATTAGCATGGGGTATTTTCCATGATAAAATAGATTCAATGGGCTAATTTCCCATGATATTTCGTGATCTAATGAGATATTTAAGATACTGCAATGATCTCTCAAACAGATTCCACATTTCTTGAAATCAAAACACATTTTACCGGAAGTTTAGTAGTATGGATTCTCACTCACATTTACATCCATATTCATACTTAAGTTTCATACTTTGATTATGTAAGGAGACATGCATTAACATAAGCATGAAGACATATAACTCAAATCCACTTACCTACTCTAATCGAAATCCCATGGTGCTCCACCAGCCTCACGTTGGTTGCCAAGCTCAAATGGTTAGGGTCCAAGCTTAAGGGACTAAGGCTTGGAGAGGTCAAATGACTAAGGGCGGAGAAGGTGAACGTGAGTGAGAGATAGAAACCCATTTCATGAGTGGTGGGGAAGCATGGCTGGGGCAACATGCAATTGCCACATGGCACACTAGTGGGCATGCATGAGGAGAGAGAGGGGAGCAAGCAGGGGAGATATCATGATGGTGGGTGGAAGAATGCATGTGCCACTTGACACTCATTCATGAAGAGAGAGAGAGAGTAAACATGAGAGAGAAGGAACTCCCTAAACTACCATACACTACCCACGCCCAGCAGAGCGTCGGTACACACGCACCTAACTACGCGCTCACCTCCGCCTGTGCTCTTTGCGGACTCGTCTACCCGTGCGTGCGCTCTAACGCATCCACCCCCACGCATTTGCCTGCTCGTGCTTAGCTGTGCACTTAACCATCACTTCGAGAAAGTCCACGTCCTTACATCATCCCCCCTTAAAAAGGATTTAGTCCTCTAAATCGCATACCTGATTATTAATTAAATGGGGGGTCTGAAAGGGACACTCTTCTCAAAACAATCTATAGAGGCATGATGAGCATACAACCAATTCATGCCCAAGATGGCGCCGAAATTGTAAACATCCATGAGAATCAAATCTATAGGCAGGACTCTACCTCCCAACCATATCCCACAGCGCCTAAACTATGTGTCAGTCATTAGAGAGTTCCCTAAAAGGTGTGCTCACTACCAAAATATGACCAAGAAGTGCATCCTCAATGCTCAGGTGACATGCAAAATGTGGTGTTATAAAAGAGTGAGAAGAATCAGGATCAACCAAAATTCTAGCTTCTACACCACAAATCAAAAGCATACCTCTAATCACCGAAGTTGAGACCTTAGCTTCCTCCCCATTAAGCACAAAGACCCGACCCTGAGTCTTTGGCTTAGACTCATTCCTCATCATCGGGCAGTCTCTAAACAGGTGGCCTGACTTGCAATACTTGAAGCATGTCTTTGTCTTCAGCCAGCACTCGGAAGCCATATGATGATGCTTCCCACAGGAGGCACAATGCACTGGCTGGTTTTGCTTGACATCGCCCTGGAAGGTATTTTGGGTCTTACCATTCCCCTATTTCCTTTTTCTTGAAAACCTCTTGAAGGCAGAGGCCTTGCCTTTTGCTTCTCCTTCCTTAGCCGTGTAATTATCGCCATCCCTTTCTATCTTCCTGGCCAAGTCCATCAATTGGGAGAAAGCCTTAAGATTGGCAGACATAACTCTTCCCCGAATATCAGGTCGCAAGCCCCTTTCAAACTTGTTTGCCTTACGAGCCTCCATGTTGATAATGTGCGGCGCATATCGAGATAACTCTAAGAACTTAGCTGCATACTGATCAATGTTCAGCCTCCCTTGTTGCAATTCTATGAACTCGACCTCCTTCCTTTCCTTCACCGAGTTAGAGAAATACTTTTCATTAAAGGCCCCTAGGAATTTCTCCCAAGTAGGTACCATCTGCACTTCTTCCCAGGCCTGCTGGACTGAACGCCACCAATGTTCGGTTTCCCCTTCTAACATGAAGGTACCCAGCCTCAACTTCTGCTCATCTGAGCACTGTAAAGGTCATCTCAACTTGCATCAGCCACCTCTCGGCCCTCTCTACTCTGCCATGCCCCGTGAAGGCTGGTGTCCCAAACCCCTTAAACTTTTCTATGAGGCAACTATCATTATGCCCTGGGCCAGGGTAGTCAAGGCCAACATACAATCCTTTGTGACTAGAGTCATGTTCCCGAGCGTCCTAAAGAATTCTTTGAAGGCCTCGGTGTTCCCATTACTCATGCTTGAATTGTTGGCACGAGCCCTAGGCATCTTGACCTAAAACAAGAACACCCAGACACTAATTACTAGCCTATCCAAACCACCCTAAAGACCAATCTATGACTCTCGAGGCCAAGAATCCTATCCAAGCTGCTCAGATACCATAATCTGTTACAACCCCGCCCCTACCGTCCTTGTTGGGCCGAAAAAGTGCTAACCCGGGCCCGTTGTGAGGACAATAGGGCATGGGGTCGCGACTATAGGTAGCGATAGCTACTCAGGTGTAGTGTGCTCAACCCTTTCATAAAGAATGATCAAAGCCAACTACAAAAGAAAACAAAACACAAAGCACATGCTAGGCAAGCAAGCTCCAAAATATTACAAAAGAGTCTAAGGAAAGAAAGGCCTAAATCAGTAAGATATAGTTCTAAAACAAAGTGGACCATAATTCCAACTGCCAACTAAAACATACAAGTAACAAGAAGCTTCTATAGAAAGGGAGTACGGGGCTCCAACTATGATCACTTGATCGCCCTTCTAAAAACCCGGTGGCTATCCCTCTACATAGATAAAAGTTAAAAAGAGACAGTTATAAAGCCCAGTAAGTAGATCAAGGTTCCATGATTTCCTACCCATGCATATTATCTCATAACAATACTAAGGGTGTTATGTAAGTCTTACAAAACATGAAGCCATGTGTCAAGAATCATATACAACAATGTGTCGTGCATGATTCTTTTCATGGTGGAGAAATGACAGATCAGATCAATCAAATATGATATGGACCAGAGATCAATCAAATTATTCAAGCATGTACATCTTAACAGATCAACATAATTAGGTAGGCATAATCAAGATCAACCAATACTAGTTAACTCACTCCCTACGCTCACTTGTCTAGGAGTTTGCATCGTCAGGGGGGCCAACACTATGAATGGGGGAGAGACCGCTCAAACATCTCATGCCCCTACTCCTGTCCGACCATGGGGAGTCGGGGAGGTCAGACCATGCAATACGCTCAAAGCATGCACCTCACTAGTGTCAATTATGGTCATGCAATACACTCAAAGCATGCTAAGAAATCACAAAGTCAGGCCATGCAATATGCTCAAAGCATGCACCTCACTGGTGTCAATTATGGACATGCAATACGCTCAAAGAATGCCAACAAATCACAAATTCAGGCTATGCAATACGCTTAAAGTATGCACCTCACTGGTGTCAATTATGGTTATGTAATATGCTCAAAGCATGCCAATAAACCACAAAGTCTAGCCAGGCAATACGCTAAAAAAATGTACCTCACTGGTGCAAATATGGTCATGCAATACGCTCAAAGCATGCCAATAAATCACAAAGTCAAGCTATGCAATACATATCTCATCAGTAGCATGTTACCATGCACACATATCACATCAGCAACATGTTTCCATTTAAGCATATCATACCATAAGCATGTCTTATTACCACCATGCACATATATCATATTAGGGGCATGTCTTGTTACAACCATGCACATTCATCATTTCATAAGCATGCCTTATTACAACCATGCACAGTCATCATTTCATAAGCATGTCTTATTATCGTGCATTCATTTCATAACAGGGTATGTCTTGATTTCATAGCAGAGCATGCATTCATTTCATAACAGAGCATGTCGCATTATAATGCATTCATTCCATAACAGGGCAAGCATTCATTTCATAACAGAGCATGTCTCATTGTCATGCATTCATTTCATAACAGAGCATGTCCCATTATCATGCATACATTTCTCATTTGCAACAGACATCCACACTCACATATCATAACCAGAGCATGTTATACGTATACTCACATGAAACATCAACAAGTCCAAGGCATATTATGCATAGCACTATGTCATCATGCTTATTAGCTCAAAAGACATCACAACATCATATTTCTGGTTTCTCAATATGAACACAGTCCACTTTTAAAGGCATATCATGAGGTTCAAAAATCATTTGGACCTGAGATTACTTTTATGATAATCCAGGCTCATGAAAACCCAACTATTGTAAAGGGGATAACCCCAAATATTGGACTAAAGTTTGTCAAAATGTTTGATGTTCTTAATTGAAGTTCTTGTTTTCACAACAAAAAATCCAGTGTGACATTCTCAGAAAAACAGTCATAAATTTCAAACCACAAAGTGTTTCATCATGATTCTAAAGTCATTTTCAAAATAGACTCATCTATCTATCATTTATAAGTAGTTTGACCCCAATCTAATATGTTTTGATCAGTGAAAAGCTCCATCAAAAACATGTTAAATCCTTAGAATTTTATTTCATAAATTTGGCATGCTTCAGTAAATGGTTAATAACTCTCAAATGAAATGAGATATTAACAAGGGGTATTTTCCATGATAAAATAGATTTAATGGGCTAATTTTTCACCAAATTTCATGATCTAATGAGATATTTAAGATACTCAAATGATCTCTCAAACAGATACCACATTTCATGAAATCAGAACCATACAGGAAGTTCAGTAGCATGCACCCTCACTCACATTTACATCCATATTCATACTTGAGTTTCATCATTTGATTAGGTAAGGAAACATGCATTAACATAAGTATGAATACATGGAAGCTAGATCCACTTACCTACTCCAATCGAAATCCCACAATACTCCACTAGCCTCAACTTGGCTGCCAAGCTCCAATGGTTAGGGTCCAAGCTTAAGGGACGAAGGCTTGGAGAGGTCAAATGACTAAGGGAGGAGAAGGTGGGCGTGGGTGAGAGATAGAAACCCCATTTCATGAGTGGTGGGGTGAATAAATAAGCATGGATGGGGGCAGCATGCAATTACCACATGGCACACTAGTGGGCATGCATGAGGAGAGAGAGGGGAGCAAGCATGGGAGACATCACGATGGTGGGTGGAAGCATGCATGTGCCACTTGGCACTCATGCATGAAGAGAGAGAGAGAGTAACCATGAGAGAGAAGGAGCTCCATAGACTACAATACACCACACATGCCCAGCGGCATGTCGGTTCACCCGTGCCTATTTGCGTGCTCACCTCCGCTCGTGCTCTTCGTGAACTCGTCTACCCATGTGTGCGCTCTAACGCGTATTCACCCATGCGCATTTGCCTACCCGTGCTTAGCCTCGCACTAAACCATCACTTCGGGAAAGTCTGGGTCCTTACATCATTACTTAAAAAAAAAAGAAAAAAACAATCTTTGGAGACGAGCTAGTATTTATACTTGGCCATAAATAACCGTCTTGGTTGATTCCTGGTACCTTATTTTTTAGAATGTGGAAAATAAATAAAAATGCATGAAGCCTCCATTTCATGGTCGAGAAGTTTCATTGTTCGACAACTCAGGTGTGCCAATTTGAACTCGCATGAGCAACTTGAGCTTGCCACCCTGCCAAGCTCGAGTATCCGGCGTTTAGTGGTCAAGCTCAGGATGTCACGACCCCACCCCCGACCGCCCAACCCTTCCAGACGGAGGGCGACCAAGCGCAGGTTCGTGATCTCTATGTAGCATTTGTCTCTCAGATAAAAGTAGATTCAACACCTTTTCTCGATAATGAAGCAAACTAAGGAAAGTAAAAGCCTACACAAGTCTAGAATTTAAAACTTGGCCACACCATACACCAAAAAGATGTTACATTACATTTCATCCCAAAAGAGTCCTACAAAAGAGTTCAGATCTCCAGTGTGCATAGTTACATAGTTTCAAGAAAATAATACAAATAGGGCTGAGAGCCCAGCTACCTATAAGGTTTAAAAGCCCTTCACAGAGTGGCTGCCTCGATTTTCAGCTACAGCCCACACTCCTAGCTCTAAACCTGCTACTCTCAGTCTACAGGGAGGGAAAAATAATGGAATGAGCTTTGAAGCTCAGTAAGCAGATCCAATGTTATGCATTGGTAACAAATCTAATCATGTGCAATAAACAAATCATTTGATCATAATTGGTTGCAAAGCAGTGGCTACGTATTTGGTCATCCGATCAGTGTGAATACTGACATAATATCCAAGTAGCGGTGCATCAATTAAGAACAATATCATGCATCAATTATAGCTAATATCAATATCATGTAGTCATTACAGCTAAAGGAATTCACATCCACAATTCATTCATCCCACACTCACTCCCTAGTTCACCTACTTCTGCCAATAGAAACCTTATTCATCAGGCTGAGCCACTCTCGTTGCTTAAGACTTCTATCATACCACAAGAGGGAGGGTAATGACAAGCAGTTTAATCCACTTCATAATACCCTCAACTCATGCACACGGTCCCCAACGTGCATTGGATGTTCGACATGCCTTTATCTTGCAAGGCATCCATCAATCACATATCTCATGTCATGATTCACAGGGAGCGACCCTTCTTTCTCCCCTAACCAGTTCCTGTCATTGTGCGGGTTAAGAAATGTGCTGACATCACCTTCTCGGTATATCAGTCTCTACGACCAATGGTTGCTCCATCGCGTAGTGGCCAGTATCAGTAAACGGTGGCCAGTATTCTTATCATTATAACAGTACAATGCTCACTACCAATGGGTATCCCCTTGCGTAGTGGTCATCATTAAGGCCTCTTTTCATGCTCGGGCATTCAATTCATTCATGCCAACTCAATGGTTCACAGTAGATGAATCACATTCTCAACATAATAGTATGGCAATTAACACGAAGCATTCATTACATGAATCTTTGCATAAAGTTTATACATGAATATCATCAACGACATCTTGGTACTTATCATGAAG